TCATATTCTTACGTACTCCACATATATTGGCATATATTTCAATTTGAATTGTCTGAACATGTGACTATTTAGATAAGCTGACTGATGATATATCTCACAACTGAAAAGAGTGCTGTCCTTGTGATTTACGCCATTGATGATCACCCATTCTGAGTGATGAGTGTAATGGTAAATAACTCCTCAGAATTACTCGTCTGCAGCTTTCATCATTCGACACTATGTGCTGACCTTCAATTTTTACGTCAACTGGCTAATCTGAAAGTGCACAGTCGGTCATGCATCCACACACACTATTTAACTCGCTATCGTGTTACTTTCGGCTGTCTGTACACGCCATCCAGTTAGTTAAACAAAAGTCAGTGCCCTGGGTTCCTGTTCCCGAAAGAAATTTCATATTGGGAATAATTAATTTCTTTTTATTGTTTGGCTGTTAACAGTTCTCTCTGATCATATAGAACAAGTATACTGAAGGTTGAAGGATATATACCTGCTTTAGTATATAAGCATATTTTGCGTACTCGTCGATATCCTTCCCCTCTTATATGAGCAATGAAGTACACACTTAAACTCTATTCCTATGTAAATCTTGTGCGAAAAGCAACACACTTTTAATCAAAATATACATAAATGTAGTATCACGCAACCTACCGCTTACATCACAGATTTGAATATATAAGATTTCACTACTGTTGAGCAACTTTGGTTCATATTGTGTCACTACTTCGCATCTATAGCTGATGAAAATATTTTCGAAGAAAGTGATTAAGAAATTCGAGGATAAAAATCTATGATAGATAGTATTAAAGCGTGGAAATCTTTCTCCAGTCATGATTCCTTCTCAACTACACCTGAACTACACTTAACTGTAGAGGTATAGTGAAGTAGGCGGGATTGTTACACCACTCATCCTGTTAACTGTATTACACACACGGTGTGTGGATTTCTCCCCAAAAAATTCTTTTATTAACAGTTACATCATATCTTCTCTTATGACTGAATGGGAAATAAAAATCAGCATGATGGAAGGATTCGAACTTGGTGGCCTGACGGTTGTTGGGTCGGCTAAATACCAGTCTATCCAAGAGATCTAGATGCTAACCACGTTCTCTTCCATATTACTCCCTTGTATGCCCGCCACCAATGCATCCACCTAGTGAACTTACTCCTGTCCTTTTTCGTACTCATTCATGACATAAGCGTTGTATGTGAAACCCACAGACTGATGCTCCACTTGAAGACTGTAGATTGTACTCCATGCCTTTGTAGGCTTCAGGAAAATATGGCTGCAACACATAGAATTTCTCTCTTAAGTGTGCATAAGCTGCAAGTTAACATCACAAAATTAACCAAAACAAACTACCCTGTGAATATATATCTACACTGGTGGACCGTGTTGAGCCTTATCACCTGCTTCGTAAGGACAGTCCACCTACTCAATTTCCCATGATACTGTCCCTGTATATGTTATGGCGTCACATTCGTCATACGACCTTTGCAGTAGCCTGAAGAAATCCAGGCAGTAAATTATAACAATAGAAAGTCAGAAATATGTCTGACTTCCACAGTATTTAAATTTCAAAGTGACTTGCCATGGGGTAAACAATCTCCTACTATCCCCAATGATTTTCCCGACTGCGGTAGATTGGATAATGCGACAAACAGAAAGCGGGCAGCGAGGAAACATGCATAAAATGTACCCACACGAAAAAATTGGAGGATCTGGAATTCGCTGATGATATGCAAGTGAAAAGCAACAAGTTGGCAGAAGAAGCATCAAAGATAGGACTTCAGGTGAACATATAGAAAACAGTGGTGTGTGATGAAGATTCCTGGCCAACAGCAACAACAACAAACAAGGGTCAGCATAAATGAGAGAAATCTGAAAGAGGCAACCTCCTCTACCTACCGACCTGGAAGTATCGTTTCAACTAAAGGCGAAACTGATGGGGATATCCAAGCGAGGATCGGGAATGTAAGGCAAGCTTTCACTATTCTTAAGTTTGTGTGGAGATAAACAGCACTCTTCAGCAGGCAAATCATAAGTGAGACTATTTCTGAGAAAAATGGCTCCTTAATTAGCTCTCAAGATAGACGCCTTGAACGCTGGAAAGAACACTTTGAGGGACAATTTAACTTGCCTACAGCCACATTGAACCTCCCCGACATCCACCCCACACCCGAATGGGATATAGACACTGGTCCGCCGTCTGTAAGTGAGGTCACAAAAGCTATCAGTAATTTGAAACGAGGCAAAGCGGCTGGACCCGACGGAATTATTCCGGAGGTGTTTAAATATGGGGGTGACATACTAGTTTGTAGATTAACTGAGGTACTAGGCAAAGTCTGGGAATCAGAGACAGTGCCATCAGACTGGGGTAAGTCACTTATTATACCGATATTCAAGAAGGGAAACAAGTCCTCGTGTGATAATCATAGGGGGATCAGCCTAACGAACATAGTCTCTAAAATCCTAGGCTCAGTAATCATGCATAGACTAAGCAGAACTCAGGAGGAACAGACAAGGGAAAATCAAGCAGGCTTTAGACCAGGTAGAGGGTGCATAGATCATATCTTCACTCTTCGACAGATTCTAGAACATAGACACACTTTTCGGCGTCCAACAATTGTCATATTTCTTGACTTGAAGGCGGCCTTTGACTCCGTGGATCGAAAGGTACTATGGCAATGTCTGACTGTGAAGGGAGTTCCAAGAAAATACATTGCACTAATCAAGGCACTCTATTCAAACTCACGTAGTCGTGTAAGGGTTTATGGGGAATTGTCATCTGAATTGGTAACAACCAGTGGTGTCCGACAGGGATGTCCACTTTCCCCATTTCTGTTTAACTTCATCATAGATATGCTAATGGAAGTATCCTTAACTGAACGTAATGACTTAGGAATCGACTTGTTACCAGGGAATAGTCTTATGGACTTAGAATATGCAGATGACATAGTCCTGTTAGGGGAGGATGCTGACAAAATGCAGAGTCTTCTGAACACCTTGAGCAGCAATCTTCGTATGTTTGGCATGCGATTCGCCCCTGTAAAATGTAAGATGCTGCTACAGGACTGGACCACGTCAATCCCTAACTTAGTGATAGGGAGTGAAGTGATAGAACATGTTGACCACTTCACCTATTTGGGAAGTTGTATTAGCACCAACGGACTGATTGGCGATGAAATCTCAGCACGGATCCGAAAAGCTCGAGCTGCTTTCGCCAACTTACACCATCTCTGGCGTAGGCGTGACATCCGGTTATCAACCAAGGGACGTGTGTACTGCTCAGCAGTTCGCTCCGTCCTTGTCTATGGCTCTGAAACATGGCCAATACACGCTGAAGACATGAAAAGGTTGACTGCTTTCGATCATAGATGTCTGCGATCTCTGTCTCACGTTAGGTGGTTTAATAAGGTAAGTAATGTTGACGTTAGGCGTAGAGTGTTGGGCGAAGAGGGAAAATCAATCGACGAGGCTATAAAGTTACATAGACTAAGATGGCTAGGTCACGTGCTGCGCATGTCTAACCATCGCCTCCCCCGACGGGCATTACTAGCTGATATAGGTGCAGGTTGGAAAAGAGCCAGTGGTGGCCAAACAAAAACATGGCCTCATCAATCCATGAAATCCTTGACAGTTAAACTGAGTCAGGTAGGGAGATGCAGACTCCCGGGTTGGGGCCCTCGGGACTCTAGGAATCAATGGCTGGAGACAATAGGTGACATGGCTCAAAATCGTTGTCAATGGCCAGCGCAGATGTATTCAGTCTCTGTAATCTTTCATATTCCTTTCTACCATTACCCATTCTGTTTCACTCTTATACTTGTCAAACTCTATTGATTCTCTTGACTCATCTTCTTGTCTACCTCTGTGTGCTATTTGGAACGTGGCAACTCGAACCGCTGCACTTCGGTGCCAAGTTCTATGTTGAATCCAGACAGACAGACTTCAGCATGAAAATGAAAATAAGATCCGGATTTTCAATTCCAATGTGAAGTCAGTCAGTGCTACTCATTATATGAATCAGAGACTTGGTGCTTCATGAAGAGCACCTCGAACAAACTATATACCTTCATCAACACCTGTCTTCGCTCAATACTACTCAAGATGAGATGGCCGGCCAGAAGAGATCATCAACAGGGATCTCTAGCAATGAACGAACCAACCCAGCAGGAATCGATTATGCAACAAATAAACAGGAAGAAATGGAGGTGCATTGGGGGCCATACTCTGAGGAAACCATTCAGTGACATCACTAGACAAGCCATTGCTCGAGTGGAACCCGAAAGAGAATCGGCGAGTTGGTCGTCAGTTCGAGGGTGATATGGAGGAGGAGGTGACATGAAGAGAAGATGAAAGCATATGGGCAGACTTGGAGGTAGATTGAAACTCTAGCAGAGAACTGAACGCAATGGAGACGTGCAGTGGAAACCCTATGTTCCCCTAGGAATTAAAAGAAATTAATAATAATAATAATAATAATGATAATAATAATAATTCAGATGATTGGCTTCAATAACAATTCAAAGTCAATTTTCGAGATATTATCTATGATCTACAAAGTCTACAGATAGAATTTAGTCAGCACTACAGACTAAACAATATTTGCTACACCTGCACTAACCAATCAATGGCTTCAGTTTGAATTTTTCAAGTATTGTGACATGTTATCTTATCACAGTGGTCGAATTATGTGAATAAGATATAAACGAATCTAGCCACAGTCATCGTATTATGCGATAGTCATCAAAAGTGACCAATCGTATGTTTAACAACTATTCAGTGTGTGGCCATATTGCTTCAATCTTGAAAAGAGTGAACAGCGATTGGGTGAATCGTAACAAACAGGTTATTGTTATTGTACACAGGCTACATACATACATACAATTGAATACTTACATTACGAAGTTTATAATTGAGAGTGGATCAAAACAGTGTATTTATATTTGAAAGCTGTCTACTTAATTAAACTTCGTCGTACTGTTTATTAAAAGACAATATGCTGCATATACAATTGTTATTGATATCTCTACTACTTATTTTGACACAGGCAACTTTATCAATTAATGGTGAGTAAATTATTTTGTTTTACATCTGTGGTTGAATTTAAGAATTTCATCGACTTTAAACTGAATTGCATATATATAATCATTTTGAGTTGGTCTCAGTGTGTTTAATGGTAGAATACTCAAAAACTACGGTCGTGGCTAAGGTTCGACCCCCAGGTGACGTATTTCTAATCCATATCTACTGGAAGTGGACCAAGAAATGGTGGATCGTTTGGCGTGAGGCTAGCAAATCCACCTAGACAAAAGTAACAGTGCAGTCGCGATTCAAGCTTGAACTATGAAGTCTGTGTAGCGGTAGCTTTGTTTTATTTTACGAGGTTGAGTTGCTACCCTCTCTCCCTCCCAAGACTTCTTCCTTCTAAGCGAGGTTTAACAGTTTACCTGTCGGGAATCGACTTGTTGACCAACTCTATGTTGTTGGTAAGGATTCCGCCACTGAAACACTGACACATTCAGTATCTTTTTAGAAACTTCTAATAAGGTCTTCTTGTTTGTCTTGTTTTCTTGAGCAATTTGTCGTATAAATTTAAAGGCTTCCTCAGTAGATTTACTTCTAAACATGTTTAGATAAATATTTTTTGTAAACGTAATTTTGTACTAAATCAATTAGACTCGGTGATAAAAATGTTCCAGGATATTAGTGAAATCTACGATCCTGTCATCGATGAATCACTAGGGATTAATCTTAATAAAACTAGCAACAAGTGAAGATTTAATGATTTCCTCAAATCTCGGTAGAATTCCTCCTCAGCTGAATACTCTACATACAGAGATACATATATACTACAGGAAATCTTTTGGGAAATATAAGATTGATAAGCAAATAAACTAAAATGAATCAATTATACGGCTGGACAGGTGCGAATATATTGCAAATTATTCGCAGGTAGATAATGGGGATTATTTATTTTTTCTTTATTCCTTCACGTTCCCAGTAGAACACAGGGCTTCAAGCTGGAGACTTGAAGTTTCTGTAGCAGTGTTTATTTTTACAGGATGGAGTTTCTAGCCTCATGTCCAACCTCCCCTCTTTACCAGTCTTACTACTGGCTTAGCCGGGTAAAGGAGTGCGTCGGCCGGGGATCAAATTCCTTACCATGTACATGGTCGGCGAGCGTCCTAACCGCAGTGCCACCAACGCACAAGGATGAGGTATAAGAGAATGAAATTAATATTACAATGTATTAAGGTTCAAAACAACCAATAAAGGTTAATAAAGGAAGATTTAATGAATTCATCAAATTTCGGTAGAACTCTTCTTCAGCTGAATACTCTACATACACGGATATATATATGCACCAGTGAAATTACATTGGGAGATATAGGACTGATAAGTAAACAAACTACATTGAATAATTAGTCATGCAGAAAGGCAGGTGGCAATGTTTTCCAGGTCATGTTCAAATAGATTAGGGGAGAGAGAGTATGAGAGATCAAAATTAAGATAAATTGCATTACGCTTCAATTACATCACTTAGATAAACAATTAGTCGTTAGGGGATATAACGAGAATTGCAAACAGACTAATATCAATAGTAATAGTTATAATAACAATAATAATAATAATAGTGTTGAACTCAGTTAAGATAATCTTACTGATAAAGGATAGTTTTAAATGAATCAAGAATAATAATAATAATAAGAGGTAGAATAATAAGTAAAACGTATTACCATGGTAGATTCAGAGTCACGATCATCTCGTTTTGTACACAGAGACCTGGTTTATAAACTCGAATTACACAAGCCTCCCCAGGAATTGCAAGCATCTTCTTGTTTCTTTGTCTGCTGACAATAGCAGTGAATGACTTGACCGCGTCGATATCATGCCCGTAATCCACAAGATGTTATTAAGTTATTAAGGTTCAGTTACACCACTTAAACAAACAATTAGTTACCAAAGAAAGAACTTGAAAGCATCAGGAATAGCTAACTGAGTTATGATAACAATAAAAATGAGTTAGTATGGCGGTACTGACAAAATTTAGTTTCAATTGAGTCAATAATAATAACAATACGAGATGGAATAAAATATTATTCATTATAATGATTAATAAGTAAAGGGTTATTCCATGTCCGATTCGAAATGCCCAGCGTTTCTTTGTGTACATATCTACCGCGTTTACTAACTTGAATTTTACAAACCTCTACAATTATCTGATGTCAACAACACTGAGTGACTTGACAGCGTCAAGTATCATGTCTGCAGTCTACAAGATGCTTTCCTGTTGAAATTTTTGAAACTTTGACTTCATCTGTTTTCAACCTTGTTTGGCAAATTCTCCATCTTGCGGGTAGACAACCGCCTCTCTGTACGACCTATGTAATCGCTTCTGCAAACACTCTACACTCAAGCTGATTTACTCAGTTCAAAGTGTAGAAGGTTGGAGACTAGAATTTTTCAGAACGGTCAAGCAACCGCGTAATACATTCTTCTACAAGCTCTCTCTCTCCCTATATATATATATATATATATATATATATAGTCTTCTTTAAAATGGTTTGGACAGTTTGACTGACTCTTACGCCTTTGGAATACCTGTTGACAGACCTCTCAGAATATCCCTTCCTAGATAAAATACACTAAGAATATTCAGTTTCGATACCTTCTTGATCATCAGGTTATACAGTTATGATATACCCATTATAACTAAAGTACTTTATTATTATTTGCAACATTGATGTGTTAGTTTAAGTGACGATGAATCCTTGATGCCGAAATTCTAAGGAGTGTATGCGAATAGGTTGTTGCTGTATCACAGTTTGAAATATGCGTGTATACAATATATATACATATATGCATAAATATAACACTAAATTTGAACATTACATTTCAAAAACCACTGAACGCGAATGACAATGGAGTATGTTCCAAATGGCCCAGTGGATAACTCTTTGTGCGTCGGTGGTTCAGTGATAGATTACCCGCCAAACCATGCACATGTTCTGGGTTATTATCATCGGGCCAACGCACTCCTTAACCCATTTACTCGGTAATAAGTATGCCAAAGAGGGAAGGTTGGGCGCGAGGCTGGCGTTGAAATTTAGTATTATACCTATGCATATGCAGGTTTCGAACTGTAATCTAGTGAAAATCGATCCGCATAGACGTTTGATAATTTTGATATCAACGATTCCACTTCACTTAAGTACGGAAATTAATATCAAAGGCTAGTGGATTCTTATCACAAAGGCACCACTAATGGCAGAGCTATATCGCCAACTGATAAAGTTTGAATTCATGGTTCATTAAATTCCAGACTAAGTGGTTGAATCAGCAACGAGCTTGGTCTTGTAGCCTGACGATTCAGGTTTCAATCCCTGGTGGTTTCGTCAGTGTAAACTGCTGAAAAACCCAAACGAGGACGAAACTAAATGATCCTTCTAGCTGATGTTGATTTGTGACGAAAATCTAATGTTTGAAATTAACGTGGTCAATAAAAAGCACTAACTATTAAAGATACATAATTACTGCTGAATTTAAAGAAAAAGTCATAAAAAGAATATTCTCTGAACTCTGATCAGTGTTTTGAAATTCATAATAGCCATTTTCAATGAATCCAAAAATATTTATCTACGATAAAGACTTATTAAAAAGACCTTTGCCGGAAATTCATTTCTCGGTTACAGGATTGATTACGAGGTGACATCAGTTAGTAAACCATTGGAAAACCATTAAGGAATACCAGACAGCTGTTTCACCCCAGTTTGGGATTCTTCAACACTACGCACCCACCCCATTGAGAGGTTTGAACTGAGAACGTTCCGATTACAAGGCGAGCTCATAGACCATTAAGCCACCTGGATCCTAGCCAATGAGTGGTCGATGAATTCCAACTTCCACCGATTCGTGATATGCGTATTTAACGGAACCGCCAGCCAATGTCAACGGTGGCGAGTAACTTTCCTCTTGCATAAAGACTTCCGAACTAGACTGATGAAACAGCTGTCCAGTACTCCCTGCAGATTTTCCAATGATTCTCTAACTAATGTCAGCTCGTGATGACACCCTCCAACCAATCAAATCAAATCCCTGCAAATCAACACTTGGATACAATTGATTTTTTGTATTAAGTTTATAAACACCTGATTAATCACAGTGTAGATTTCATCGAGATCCCACAATAGTTAGAGAGTCATTGGATAGGCAAATGCAGTGAACAGCAACTTTTTCTTTCTAGTTTGAGTCCCTTCAATATTACTTGACTAGCAACCAGAGTGTTACAAAGTTTGATCCTAATGCTTGCGGATTACTGAAGACCTTAAAATCAGGTCGAGGCTTTTGTATAATGCTCCTTGGTGTTTTTTCAACGACCCTTTTATTCACGTAGGTTTGTAATGAAGTCCGCACTGAAAAAAAAACAATGAAACTACAACATACGGAAAGATTATAGCTACAATAAGACGGTAGATCGATTTAAGGTGGAGAACCATTGGGATTCAGGGAGTAATGGACCGCTATTTCATCTCTATGTGGGACACCTCCGCCGTACTCACCCATGACCACACCGAAGATCCAGAGCACAGTTTGTTCAGGTTACAATGCAAGCCCTTTGACAAGTCAGTCGTTGGGTCATCAGGTTCTACATTTATACGACAGTAATAATTGAAGAATTATTGTTATTTCCAAAATTAATGTTGTTTTAAATCACACTGAATCATTAGCATCAACAGATTACGTTTCAAAAACATCAGCAAAAGGACATAATATGCATTAATACAACAGTAAGTTGGATATCAGATAACTGGAGAGAAGTAACCGACAGAATTTATGAACTTATAGGCTCAACAGCAAGCCATGGTAACATAAATGGCTATCTGGACCTGTTTCTTTTGCACACAGAGTTCCTGTTGATCTAACCGTCCTCGGTAATTTATTCCATACCCCATAAATACCGAACACTCCAAATAGCAGAGGCCATCACAATTCTCTTAAATCAACTGAAGCACTGTGTGCAAAAGAAACAGGTCCAGATAGCCAATTATGTTATCATGGCTTGCTGTTGAGCCTATAAGTTCATAAATTCTGTCGGTTACTTCTCTCCAGTTATCTGATATCCAACTTACTGTTGTATTAATGCATATTATGTCCTTTTGCTGATGTTTTTGAAACGTAATCTGTTGATGCTAATGATTCAGTGTGATTTAAAACAACATTAATTTTGGAAATAACAATAATTCTTCAATTATTACTGTCGTATAAATGTAGAACCTGATTACTAGTTTACCGAAAGGACTATTCTTTCCTCATTAATAAGTCTTTGAAATTTTAAATGAACATCTTGAATCAATTCATGAATCCTAACTTCTGTCAACTTGCAGAATATAGCGGCATCGTCAACCAATATCACTGGCGAGTATTTATCCTCACACCCTACTTGATCAATCCTTTTGTTCAAGACTTCTGACTAGTACTTCTAGCAAGTTTATCCAGTAGTCAATCACTAGTTTTCAAAGATTTCCTAACTTCAGACTGATCAAATCCCTGCAAACCAACACTTGAAAACAGGATGAATATTATTCATGTACTCCACTACATTTAACTCCTCATTATTAACAATAATATTAATAATATTATGAGTTGACATCTGTAAGAGAGCCATTGGAAAACCACAATTGGAGTACTGGACAGCTAGCTGTTTCGTCCGCTTAGTTGGGGACACTTCAGCAGTACTCACCATTGCAAGGTGAGTTCCAACCCAGCACCTTCTGGTTACAAGGCAATCCTTAGACCCGATCCAATGGCCACCCCATGAATTCTAACTTCTGCTAATTTCACGACATAACACGACCATTTCGCAATGTCTTCTTCGATGAGCAAGTGTCCTCACCTTTGACCTGCTGTATCACACTGGTCACGGCTTCCTACTAGAACCCCAGGTTAACTGCCCGAATAGTGCCAGTCGCTGATGAGCATCAGATCGATGATGAAGTACCAACTTGCCTTGTTATTTGAAGGTCCTGTGTTGGAACTCCACTGGGGTGCGTGTGTACTGGTGAAGAGTCCTAAACTAGGCTGACAAAGTAGCTAGTTGTCCAGTACTCCAGTTCTGGTCTTCCAGTGGTTCTCTAACCGATGTCAGCTCATGATGAAATCCTTCAACCAATTAAACAAAATCCCTACAAAAACCAATACTTGATAATAATAATAATTATAATAATGAATTACATTCCATGATTTGTTGTTTCTTCCATAATATCTTTTCAGGTGATTGTGTTCCACTTAACGAGAGATGTACAAAAACTGTATTTGCACCGTGTTGTAATAATACAGTATGCAAATTGGATGGTCCATTCTATGGAAAGTGTGTGCAGTGTTTAGCCGACGCTGCATGGTGTTGGCATGACAATGAATGCTGTTCTGGAAACTGTGATTGGTTCAGATGTATAAAACGCGAAAATTAAATAAGCAAATAAATAAATGAATAAATAAATGACAAGTTAAACAATACAATCAACATGCATCATACTTATTCAATTAATGTAACAATGAACGACTGATTCACTGATTTTGTTTAAATAATGAATAATAATTTAACAGATTAAAATGTATAATTAATTATACTTCTGTTGTTTTTGGTTGTTATTTATGAGAACAGATTTGGTCAACTGTATGTCACCTTTTTCTCCGTAAAGTATTCAGGAGTTTGAGAGATGTGATAAGAGTAATTTTTGTGAATGTAGATGTCGTCATAATGCAACATGAGTTACAGAATCATTGAAAACCAACTGGGAGTACTGGATGGCTTTTTCGTTCTAGTTTGTAACTATTCACCAGTGCGCAGTCATGATCCTATCAAATATCGAACCTGTGGCCTTCTTGTTATAAAGCCAATTCGTTGACAGTTTAGCTGCTTGGGCGAAAATACACTGACCTGTGAATTCTAATATATGTGTAGAACTTGGGCGCTGTGGTAGGATTTAATTCCATATTAATTTGTTTATTAGATATATCACATCCAGTGAAACAGTATTATTGCTTAGTGGATGACAAAATTCCAAACACAATTTATTGTTCATATTAGATAGATCAGACTATTTGGAGAAGGTGAATACTCACATACAAACAGGACCATATGAGGAAATTAAGAAACCAATAGAAACCGTTAGGAATAAGGTTAGTAAATCTACAGCGCCGAATGAAGCCGTTTTTAGGTGAGTCTAAATGGTTTAAATTAATGTCAAAAACTAATAACCCCAGTAAGTTGTGAGGTGTTGTTAGAGTTCATAAGTCAGGATACCCTATTAGGCCTATAGTGGATTTTAGAAATTTACCTACTTATAAATCATCTAAATATTTAGCCATGATATTAAATCCTCTAAAAAGTCACTCGAAATCTAGACTAACTAATTCTTATGAACTAAAACATAGATTAGATAATTTAAAATTACATAATGAAGAGAAAATGGTCAGTTTTGACATTGTCAGTTTATATACACGTATGCCAATAAATATGACTATAGGGGCAGTCAGAAACGAACTCATTTCTGACCAAGAACTCAAACTTAGGACGGAAGTGCCATTTGAGGACATAATGCTGGGAGTACAGCTATGCCTGATTTCTACAGTATTTAAATTCCAAGTGAAAATATACAAACAAATTGAAGGAGTTGCCCTGGTGTAAACATTATCGCTGATAGCTGCAGATATATTCATAGGTAGGTGGGAAAACGTAGCTATTGAAACGTTCAATCTCACCTCAAAGTATCGTAGATGCACCTAGATGACACATTAACCGCACTTCGAACACTTCAACTCGAAGGTGGAGGCAGTTCAATTCACATATGAGCTGGAATGTCAGTAAGGGGAGCATCCAATGTTAGATTATAGCGTAAAAAGGGAAGAAAACGGGAACTTAAGCAGTAGTGTTTACATGAAATCCACACATTCAAACAGATATTTGAATTTCCGACCATCCCACCATATGTCAGTAAATATAGGATTGGTGAAATGTTTGAGCAAAAGGGCACAAAAACTAAGTAGCACCAAGGAGAATCTAATACAGGAAGTGAGGCATATATGAGAAGCTCTGACACTTAATAATTACCCTGATAAATGAATCAGGAAGTATGTAGGAAAATGTGAAAATAAAGTAAATAATAAGAGTATTGACAGTGATAGTAATAGTAATAATAATAATAATGACGACGTGCATGTCAAACATGCACGGGATAACGACAACACCAAGAATAAGGAATATAAATCACCATCAATACTAATTCCATACAAAGAAGGAACCACGGAAACCACTTTATGCAGAATTCTTAACGATGCATGCATCAGTAGAAGTGGTTGGAATTCAGTCACCCACAAACTCAATTAGATATAAGTATAAAACTTGGACAGTGTGGTAGAGTATAACTCCATTATAGATAAGATTTTATTTTGATAAGTCACACAGTGTTTTACAGTAATATTAACTGATGCGACCACGTTTCGAGCACAAACTATCGCCACTCATAATCATATCAAGCTACTCACACAACTGTCTTGCTTCACTTATATACATGTATGGAATTGACCAGATATTTGAATAAAAATCAATGTGTGATAATGTACATTCAGAAATGGTAATAATATGAGTGTTATTGATAAATTACAATCAGTGGAGAAATAAATAAGACGAGTGTTTTTATAGTCATAATAAGTTATTTGTTAGAATGTTGTAATGTGTTTGAATCGAAATAGAATTTTAAGATTATTTATTATCAGTATTATGCATCGGAAATGACTCAATTCAAACACCAAAAATATGGAAGATATTATGACCACCAGTCAAATCAGAAGAGGTTAATAAATAATCTCAAAATTCTATTTCAATTCACGCACATCACAACATTCTAACAAATAACTTATTATGACTATAAAAACACTCGTCTTATTTATTTCTCCGCTGATTGTAATTTATCAATAACACTCATATTATTACCATTTCTGAATGTACATTATCACACATTGATTTTTATTCAAATATCATGTCCTGATGGAATGATCGTCAGGTCAAATACATAGGTGAAAGCAGTAGAACGGCGTCAGTCAGTCAGTCAGTCAGTCAGACTAGCGGAGCATGAAAACCTAGTAGCGAAATTTAGATTACTTGATGGAAATGAGACAAGATTTCTGGAGATTGGTTCAGCTGTAGTAATCACTACATGCAGCTACACACAGCCATACAACAGGATGAGGGGGATATGATGACAGTTTCAGAATCTAGTATAACAGAAGAGTGGAGGAAGAGATTGATAACGGGAGCTTCATTTGTCGAGTCGACTGCGAATCACCGTGTAATGGGAATGATTCAACACCTATCCATCCAGAAATCTGAAAAATTCCACTACCTTTACGACGAAGAATAGGAAAGAATAAAGAAAAAAATAATAAAACTCAAGTTTCGAAGTTGTGTGACTGTAATTGATGATAATAGACAATACTGGATTTTGTTCGAAACTTTGTCATCCAGTAAATAATACTTTTTGTCTGTGAATTCTGACATATGTCAATTCAACTGATGATACTGCACTAAGGCCAATCAATGCTATCGACGAGTATCCAATTCACCCTGACGTTGTGGATCCTGTTGGCCACGACTGGACATTAAAACTTCATGACATCCATCCACCAATAGCTACCAGTGAGCTGGGAGCTTATATTTACATTAGGGATATGGATTAATTACAATACAGATTTCGTCAGAAAACATCATCAGTTAGAAAACTATTGCGAACCTAAGGAAAATAGGTTCGATCCCTTATGTGTTTGAATTACTAAATAATCCCAAACAAGGTTGAAAGAAACATCTATTACTCTCTGAATTTCTGTGTTTCACCAAGTGGTCTTGTTTCATGGCAAAATCTGTACTAAGAGCAATCCAAACCCCTGAAATCCTATTATATATTATACATTATCATCTTTACTGTTTGATGGATGATGACTAAACCTAGAATCCAGAATGTGTATTTCGTCCTACTTGGGACTCGTCACCGTATGTATCTACTATTCCCCGTGGAGTGAGGTCTTTCCTACGGATAGACGAACCCAGAACGTATCATTTCAAACACCAAAGCTTCATGCAACAGCCTAGGGGGGCGGCTACGAGAGTCTCTTGTTCAACGAATGTCAGCTAATAATTGTTTAGGTGAATTTCGCGTCTACCAGTGATTGATTATAGTGGACCTAAATATTCAGTCTCCGTTGACATGTGACGAAACAGTTAAAGCCAGAAAATGATGTCAGTGGTTCGGGTGGAATGAAGATACTCCTCTGAAGCCTTACTTTTCATTCAGAAGCCAAGAAATGCATTTTTTTTCTTTCACGTTCCCAGTGGAACATAGGGGTCCAAGCTACTGGCTTAAAGTTTCTGTAGCAGTGTTTATTTTTTCACAGGATGGGGTTGCTAGCCTCATGCCCAACCTTTCCTATTAACCAGGATTATTTCTGGCTTAGCGAGGTAAAGGAGTGCATTGGCCGGGGATCGAACCTTGGACCATGTGCATGGTCGGCGAGCGTCCTAACCGCTATGCCACCGACGCATCAAGAAATGTATAATAATACTAATAACAATATTGTAATAGTGAATAAAGTGTTTACCACATAGAAAATGTGCTGAATTTTTATGACCAGTAGTGTATGTTAGTCAGTTTAATTCAACAAAAAGAAACACGGCATGTTACTGTAAAATACAATCAAGATATACTTCTCCAATGATTGAAAACATAGTTTAATGTTTTCGCTGTATTTTTAAAATGTATGAGTAATTTCTAGTGCTCTAAATGCGCTTGTGGTTCAATGATTGCGTGGTTACCTGCCACACGGTAAGTTAGAGTTATGTGTCAAGCCGATACATTCAAAAATCTCGCTTGGTTTACTAGCTGACAGTAAGTTCACGAAAGAGTAAAGATCTGGAGTCATGTTACCAACACCATTCTATACAAAGAAACAATTAAACATCTAAACTAAAATTTCAAAGTCTAAAGACCTTTACTCCACTTGGAAGGTAACAAATGAGACACCGAAAAGTCTAAGGGTTAAAATGAGATAGTTTAATTGTTATTTAATTCTTTTACTAATCTGTTCATGCCTTTGAATCTAAGTCCTTATTAATACATAATTCCTTCTCATCTCATTTTAACTTAAAATCAATAAACCTTTTAAAATGAAACAGATTAGAATTTCTTCATCCTTATTCAACGGTATACAACATAGGCGACAGTAGAAATAATTAGCAGTACTTTGCAGAAGAAAATGAGCATTGTACCCTTCTCTCCATCTATCTTTATTACTTTTTAGAGATTGATTTCTTAATCCTGGTTCATCGAATAATCTACACCCAACAACACATGCAATAGAAGTGACTCAGTGGAAATACCACAGGTATGCAAGATATTATAACCACCAGTCAAATCTG